GTGAAAGACTGAGGTGATGGCGAGTCTGCGTGGACACATGGGTAGTGCAGCTGCATGAAGCTATTTGCGCATCTACTGATCTCTATACATTACTCAGTGTTCCGTGGTCACCCATAGATACATGAGGTACCCACAGTCACTGCCAGTGAAAGAAGCTCTGATTTTAAGGACTAAGGAACAAACCTGAGGTGAGTTCTTGCAAAATAAGGAAATTAACCAGAATATACAAAATGTGCTTGGTTTTTAGGATTATAGCCTGAAAGTTATTTCTTGTTTGTTTTTTCAAAAAACAGAGAGAAACATTCAGTGCATTCTGAATAAACTAATGGGTTCATAGTCTTCATTTGTGGGCTATTATATTTTACATGGTAAATTAACATTTCTAATTATTCTCAGACCTTTAAATGAGGGAATTTATGATACATCATCTGTACATTGCATTGTGTGTTTACCACCGAAAGTGAGATTTTTTTCTGTCACCATCTATGCGACTCCCTTTACCCTTTACTACCCTCTCCTCTTCCCTCTGGGTTAACCAGCATACCGTTGTCTGTGCCTATGAGTTTTTGCTTGTTTTTCTTCATTGTTAATGTGTTGCTTTCAAGTTTTCTTTCCCACATATGAGTGAAATCATATGGTCCTTGACTTTTTCTCTTTGACTTATTTGACTTGGTAGAATTTTGTGGTCCATCCACATTGTTGAAATGGCAGGGTTTTTATCTTTTCTCCTGGTGGAGTAGTGTTGTGTGTATGTGCCTCATCTCTTTTATCCAGTCACCTACTGAGGGACACTTTGGTTGTTTACATGTGTTGGTCACCATGAATAAAGCTGCAATGAACATAGTGGTGCATATATCTTATGTCACCCTCAAAATTTAATTTAAAAATAATGAGAGAACTTAAAATTTCAACATAGCAAGTGTGTTAAAATAGGGAGAAAAATTCCTATTCTTATCTAGAAGCTTGATATGAGATTTTGATTTTTTTATTTTGAAACTTTAGAAATTATACTTTACATTCAATATTATTCTGTTCTAGTTTCAGGGGTACAGGATAGTGGCCACACAGTCATGTACTCCACAGTATGTTTCCCTTGATAGTTAAGGTACCCACCCTGCCCCATACAGAGTTATTATGATATTACTGACAATAATTCCCATGTAGGATTTTGATTCCAATTAGAAGCTTGATGTATGTGAATGTTTTCAAAACTGAAATTCATAGACACAGAAAACAGTACGGTGGTATCCAGAGGGCATGTAGGTGTTTATAGTAAAGGGTAGAGTGGCCAAATCTATGGTGATGGAATATGATTTGACTTTGGGTAGTGTGCAACAGTGTAATATACTTATCATGTATCTTAGAAATGTACACTTGAAAGCATATGATTTTACTAATGTCATCTCATAAATGTAAAAAAAATTAACATAGCAACCCATATTGATAAATACCGAAAATAAACGTTTTGAGGAAGTAACTTTTATTATCACTTATAGAATGATGAAACTGTAATTTTGAAGTACTTTAGGGTGTTTTTATTACTGTGAAATTTTAACTTATCTTTTTATAAAGTCAGGCTCTTAAGAAACTATATTAAATAATGTTTTTATACAGAGAAGTGTTAACCTAGCAGTTTAAGTTGAAAGTCTAATAATATTCTCTGGCAGTTTTTATAGTATTGGATCTTTGATGACTTAAATGACAGAGAATAGATTATATACCCAGTTTCTACATCTAAACAACTTAACTGGCTAGTAGGAAATTTATTTTGGAGAAATTTAACATTGATGATTAATAAGAGTAAGGGCACTATATAGATCCTGCATAAAGTAAGGAGTGAGAAAAAGAGAGTTGGATATGGACTACCTTATATCCTCATGTTCTTTAATAGGTGTGCCTTTATCAGCCTACAGCTTCAAGAATGGTAGAGCTTCTGAATAAACTGGAAGCAGCAATGTGAATGAGGCATGTAGAGTAGTCCTCACAGCTGGCTTGTAAAGAAAGGTCTACTTTTCAGCACATCCTCCATCCCCCCTGCCCTCCAAATCTATTAGAATGGAATCAGCTTGTCTATCTTTGAACTTAAGTGATTTTGTACCTTTACTCTGGAAAAATGAAGCAAAAAATTTAGATTTGTATGTGTAGTTGTACAATTCTTTTCTCTTACTTAATTTTGTCCTTCACCATCAGATGTAGGGTAATCCAGGGAATCAATTTTCTTTAAAATTTAATTTATTTTAATTGTTGTTCAAGTACGGTTTTCTGTCTTTAACTCCCAACCCAGCCCACCTTCCACAGTGCTTCCCACCTCCCTCTCATTTCCACCCCCCTTAGTTGCTGTCCATGTGTCCTCTATACTAGTTCCTGTAAATCCTTCCCTCTTTTCCCCTGAAATTCCCTCCCCTCTTCCCTCTGGTCACTGTCCCCCTGTTCTGTGTTTCAGTGTCTTTGTTTTTATTTTTCTTTCTTGCTTGTTTTGTTGCTAGCTTCCTGTTAAAGGTGAGATCATATGGTATTTGTCTTTCAACACCTGGCTTATTTCACTCATCATAATGCTTTCCAGTTCCATCCATCCTGTTGCAAAGGGTAGTAGCTCCTTCTTTCTTTCTGCTGCATGGAATTCCATTGTGTTCATGTACCAGAATTTTTGGATCCATTCATTTACTGGTGGGAATGTAGGTTTCTTCCAGCTCTTGGCTATTGTAAACTGTGCTGCTATGAACATTGGGGTGCATAGGGTTTTTTTTGGATTGGTGTTTTAGGGTTCTTAGGGTATAATCCTAGTAGTGGAATTGCTGGGTTGAAAGGAAAATCCATTTTCAGTTTTCTTAGAGAAATCAATTAAAAAATTTTTTTTGCTTTTCTTTATTAAGCTGTACTCTGTGTTTATTTTTAATGGCCTCTTAAAATGCCTCCTGAGTAAAGCCTGGAAGATCCCTTGGGATCAGTCTTCTAACATTTCCTGAAGAAAGAAAATTTTCTGAAGAAGAGTTTTGAAAAAGACTACTAATCTCACTTAATTATCATAATATTCTTATTACTTGTGGATATTATTTCTTTAATATAATTTCTTGTTCTTGATGTGATGCTTTTTTCTTTTGTTTTATTCTATTTAATTCTTTCTGTGATGTGTGGATCCCAGTTTTTCCCCTGTTATTTACTTGTCTCTTGTCAAAATACATCAAAATACATTCTATTACAAGTGAATACTACTACTCATGTGTAATTAGATAAATAATTCTTGAGACATACTATCTTATTTTATGCCTAAATAAGGGTTTATGAATTATAATATTCATTTTATTCTTGGCCTATATCTATAATTATTACTACCTTGACAAAGATCCAAATGATTCCTTGTGATAAATGTTGATAGTGATGCATTCAAGAACATTAATGGGAGCTATCATTTATTGAACCTTCAGTGGGTGCCAGCCAGTATTCTAGGTGTTTACTAGTAATAAAAAAACAACCTAAGAGGCAGGCTCTATTGGTATCCCCATTCTAAAAAGGATGAGACTGAGGCAGAGAAAGGTTTATTCCATTGCCTAAGGTCACATAGTAGTAAGTGGTGAAGCTGGGATTTCAACATAGACAATGGGTCTCCAGAGTCCATGTGATGCGTCACTGTGCTACACTCTCCCCAATAAGAATACACTGAATCGAATAACTTGTAATTGGTATTTGGTCTCTGTAATGATAAAGTGCCACTAATCACTGGGTAGTCTTTTTAAAGGAACAGTTATAGGCTTGGACATTTCTATTTTATTATAAAAATGGGAAAAAGTCAGTAGAATAGAATGTAAGATGGGGTTGCACAAAGAGTGCCATGGAAGGTAAGACTGGACAAGGTTTCTGAGATTGTCTAGTTCTAGCCTTTTATCTTCCAATGAGGAAACTGAGACAGAGATGCAATTACATTTGGAAATGACTCCACCGTATGCCTTTTTACACTGACGTTGGGCTCTTCCCTCAAGTATGCTGAGTTTTAGAACCTGGGTACCAAAGCTCCATTTCTGAGCACTCTCAGTACCTTGCAGGAATCATAAATATAACCATGTCTCATTGTCTTTTTCCTCTCTTTTTAGTGCCTATGTTTTCCTTCCTCAATACCTAGGTCACCCCAAGAGTTTTGAAAAAATAATACCCGCTGGTAATGTAAGAGTTCATGACAGTCACCAGACAGTGAATTTGAAAAATATTTGGTGAAAATCTAAATAGTGTCTGTGTGTTAAGAGTTATAGGATAAAGAATGATTACATGGAGAGAATTACAACTTTAAAAAGCTGATACTATTAAAAAAATAGAAAAATTGCTGACAGTCACAGAGTCCAACTGAGTAATTTCTTTAGGGAACAGTGTGCTAATAATGTCTTGGTTAGATGTACTCGTCTGTAGAAATTTAATGAGAGACCCATGAAGACTGAACATCCTTTGGGACATAAAGGACTGAATATTGCAAATTATCATAATACTAAATTAGTTATTCCAAAAGGGATATTATTTTTTGTGTGACATTAATTTTATTATAAAGGTCCTCACCACAAATGCTATCAACTCAGAGGACTGATATCATGCCAATTTATTTAGAGATTTTGTTTTGCCACCACCAGAGAGTAAGCACATCAGCACACATTGGTGACTAGTATGCCGAGGACTGACAGTTTAACTAGGCTCCAACAAGACACAACTGGCTCTGGGATCTTTGATACTTTTCTCAGTGGACAATCCACTAAGACTAAAGGGAGATTCTCTGACTTGTAGCCCAAACAAAATGATCTGGGGAGAAAAAAAATTGTCAAGGGAAGGTAGAATTGGCTATTAGGAAGAAGAAACTATCAATATTTATCAAGTGTTTATTGTGTGTAAAAGTCATTAGAAAATAAAATAATGAAGATATACTCCATGATATAATTGATGTATTCACAGTGTGTATTTGATTTCATTACAGGTCCCTTCTCCTGACTTCTCTCATTCTGAAAACAGGCTTTAGAGAAGACTGAATGGGACATAGTAACAATGTGACAGATTTTGTCCTCCTGGGCCTCACTCAGGATCCTGGGGGCCAAAAAGCATTATTTGTCATATTTTTACTCACTTACATTGTGACAATGGTGGGCAACCTGCTCATTGTGGTGACTGTTCTAGCCAGCCCCTCTCTGGGCTCCCCCATGTACTTCTTCCTTATCTTTCTGTCACTCATGGATGCAGCATATTCCACTGTCATTTCACCCAAATTGATCATAGACCTACTCTGTGGTCAAAAGACAATTTCCTTCTCAGCTTGCATGGGACAGCTCTTCCTGGAACATCTTTTTGGTGGTGCTGAGGTCTTCCTTCTGGTGGCCATGGCCTATGATCGCTATATGGCCATCTGTAAGCCACTGCACTACATAACCATCATGAATAGACAGGTTTGCATCCTGTTGTTGTTGGGGGCCTGGGCTGGAGGATTTGTTCACTCTGTGGTCCAACTTCTCTTTGTGTACAACCTCCCTTTTTGTGGCCCTAATGTCATTGACCACTTTGTCTGCGACATGTACCCACTATTAGAACTTGCCTGCACTGACACCTACTTCTTAGGCCTCACTGTGGTCGCCAATAGTGGAGTAATCTGTACAGTCATCTTTGTTTGTCTACTAACATCCTATGGAGTCATCCTAAGTTCCCTTAAAAGTCACAGTCAGGAAGGGAGGCGCAAAGCCCTGTCTACCTGTGGTTCCCACATCACGGTGGTTGTTCTCTTTTTTGTTCCCTGCATTTTTATGTATATTAGACCTGTTTCTAACTTTCCTGTTGATAAATTCTTAACTGTGGCTTATACTGTTATCACTCCCATGTTGAATCCTCTAATATACACTTTGAGAAATTCAGAAATGACAAATGCTATGAAAAAACTCTGGTGTAAGAAATTAGCTGTTTACAGAATGAGAATGTGTCATTCATATTGAGAATGAGAATGTGTCATTCTATGTATACTTGTTACTAATTCTGAAGGAACAAACAGGCAGTGCATTCTAAGAATGAATAACTTAGTCAACTCAATGAGTTCTCTTAGAATGCTTTTCTTTATTCATACAAAGATATAAAAAAGTAGAACAAATTATTCTTTGAGGATATAATCAATCTAATACATTAATTCTGAAGGATGAATAAAGGGCACAAGTATTTTTCTTATTATTAGGAAAAATAAACTACATTCACATGGTAACTTTTTTTTTGTTTGGTTACAGTTGTCCTGATTTTTTCCCATTGTTCTTTCCTGCCCCCTACCACTGAACCCCACCTCCCACAATCAATGCCTCCATATTGTCCATGCCCATGTTTCCCTTATTCTTGTTTCTTGGCTTGCCTCTTCAGCTTTTCCCAGCTAACTCTCATCCTGCTCTTCTGTGGTCACTGTTAACTTGGTCTCTATGGTTTATTTTGAAATGGGGCATTAGAAGAGTTCATTTTTCTTTGAAAAGTAAAAAATAAGCTACCTTTAAAAAGTTGCTTCTACCAAAAATAATGAGAATGCAATTTGGCTAATGTTTAGAACAAATTTCTAAGGTTAAAACAGTGGCATGTATGTATATGTGTGTTTATGTATGTATGCATTTATTTATTATTATTGTTCAAGTAAAGTTGTTTCTATTTTAATCCCCCCATGCTTCCATCCCCTACCTATCTGCACCTCCCATGCTTGAACTTACCTCCTTTGCTTTGTCCATGTGTCCATCATACATGTTCCTTGTTGGCCCTTTCCCTATTTTCCCCCAGCATCCCTCTCCTCCATCCCCTCTGGTTACTGTCAGTTTGTTCTTTATTTCTAAATTTTGATGTTTGTTATGGTATGCATACAATAGGTTTTAGCAGCTTCCTTAAGCATTTTGTCTTCCAGATTACTTCTGTTTTTAATGTTGATGCCTGTGCATTTGAAGTTCAGGATGTCTAGATGGGAGATGATACCATATTTGGTTAAATGCACAATCATGAATTAGTTCTGTTAGATGGGATATTGGATATATTGACAGGTTGGGATGAACCCAAAGGGGATGGTGATAATGAAAACAGGTTCTAGCTCTTGATTAGAGTATAGAATACCATACCAATCCAAGATGTAAACATCTTTTCATGCTTTTTCTCACTAGTTATTATGTGCCTTTTTGGCATTCTTCAAAGAGTAGGTGAAGCTTCTTTTGTCTTCATGACACTGAAGTTTGGGTAATGAGATGCATTATTTTGGAGAACAGTGTGTTCCTTGAAAGTTGCATTCAACTTCAATACTTTAAATTATAGACTTAATAGTATTTGTTTTTATATAAACAAAATTTTGGTTTTCAATCTCATCTTAAAAAAGTGTTTTTTCTTCAGGGTGTGTTGTCTCCAGAATATGACAACCTAGGAAGATGGAATTACTTTCACTGTACTCTAGAAACCTCATCTATGTTTTGTAAGAGTTTTTTTCTAACTAAAAGAAATTAGAACTTTTCCAATTTTAAAATTTTATTGTGTATTTTTCATGCACACATATAATATATGGAATTTGTACCCAGAATATGATCAATATTGAAATTACCTGTGTATCCCACTCTTCTCCTTCTTTCCAGAGTTATTCCCAATAATATTAAATTTTGTTATAATCATACTTAAAAAGTTTAACTGCATATGTATGTATCCTTAAGTTATAAAGTATACAGTTTTATATTCTCTACATTTATTAAAATTATGATACATAGTACAAAGTTTTCTTTGTCTTCTTTGTGCAATGTTGACTTCCTAAGATTCAATCATGTTGCCTCATGTCTGTGTAGTCTCACCAGTTCCCTGATGTGTACGATTCCATGTCTAAATATACCACACGTTATGAACCCATTTGCCCAGTGTGCTACTCTGAGCTGCTATGGACATCCTGAAAGAAACTACTTTGTGTTAAGTAGGCTGTTTATATGCTCACCTTTATGGATGGTTGCAGTTTTATCCTAAAAATGTGTTATCAGTTACACTCCTGCTTGTGTTTGTATGTGTGCATTTGTGTGTGTGAATGTGTATAAAGATTTTAAATCTACTTTACAAAGGACTTTATGTTGTTATAAATCCAAGGTTTTCAACACATTTTTAAAAAATGCAATCTACCTTCCTAATCTGATGTCTTATTTAAGATAAATAGGTCCAAATAGTGGTGTACCTATTTCTAGACTCTTTTCTTTTGATTGGTGTATTATTCCCAAGACAATACTACATTATTTTACATCTTGTAAGTAGCTTTTGCTATTTTTTAAGAGGCCTACTACACAATATTCTAATTAAAAACTGTGCTTTCTCTTTCCAACAACTATCTTCCACATAATTGTGAAAAGAATTTCAGAGCATGGACAAAACCGAGGGGGAGGGGAGTAACTAGGGACAGGGCTCAGTTTGTCTGGGGTGGGGGTATTGGTGAGGGAAAAATGCAGACAAGTGTAATTGAAAAACAATAAAATAATTAAAACATAATCTCAGAGGTCTTAGAAACCTACTAAGATTTTGAAGATGGTATATTAAATGTCTAATTAATTTAGAAAAGAACTGATATATTGATTACATTGAATCATTCTTTCTTGGAACATGAAAAATCTGAGTATTTATTTAGGTCTTTAAGATTCAGTTACCTTTTGGAATATTGCTGAGCAGTAATGATATCAGTGACTTTTCTTTCCCATTTGTTTCTAATATTTTATATCATGTTTCTCATTTTACGTTCCTCAGCAGAGAATAAAGTGATATAACTGTGTGTAGAGGAATCTGGACTTATTCTTAGCTTTAATGGGGATGCCTGTGGTATTTCCCTGTAACAATGTGTTCATTAATAATTATGATCATAAGTGTCCTGCGAGAAACAGATATCACTCTTCAGAAGAAAACTGGAAAGTATTCACAAAGAGTTTACCAGATTAAAGAATTAAAATAAATGGTGATTTACCTCGGACTAGCAACAGTGGGACTAGCAGCAGTGGGACATCATTACTACCCTAGTTATGAAGGAGAAAAAGAAATAGATGTTTTTCCAAAAATGGGAATATCTCTAACAGAAAAAGAAAGTTCATTGGACAGGAGCCGTGTCTTGAGTAGAGAGAGCCATGTCCAAACTGGCTAATGAGGTAATGTGGCAGAGGAATGAACATCTTGATGTCTCTTCACTCTCTGATCTTCTATTATTTCCTTCCATTGGCTGAAATTAATGAACAGCTAAGTTGATGACCATTTTAGTGGTCAGCTTTTTAGGGATAAGAATAAGGTGGGAAATATTAGAGTTGGATCTACAGGAGGAAATGTAGCACATCCATGATACCCAACCCTTTTTGCTTCTACTATTCACTTACAAATTTGGATGGAAATTAAAACTCTCTCCCCAACACAGGAAACACAAAAAGTCCCTTTAACTTCCATATCATCCATTGATTTCAGCTTAGACATACTCCCACTTGAAACCTAATTGAGATATAAACCACCAATGCTCTTCATATGATGTAGCAGAGGGGGGAAAGATAAAGAGATAAAGAAATGATTACATGAATAAAAACATCCACTTCAGTCTTAGCTCCCACAGACTGTCATGTGATCAAAGTTAACAATCATAACTTCTCAACCACCAACTTTGTATTGTTTCACTTTCTGCCAATTTCTTGGCTAGTCAGAGAACATTATCCATTTGGGTGACTCAAACCTTAATTATCATTGAACTCAAATCTATGATTCTGTTTTGTTGATTTTCCCCCTGTTTTACATTGCTGTCTACTGGGCATGGGAGTAGAAATAGATATTGTATTTCATGCCTTCATTGTGTGTGTGGCAACTTAGTTTTCTGTTACTAATTAGGACCAAGCACTCCACTCAGTACAGGGAACTTGTTTAATCAGCCTGGGGATCCCAACATAACCATGGATATTTTGCATTGAAAACCTAATGGAACAATGAGTGTGTTCATTTGTTCAAGTATTCCTTTCTGGGCATCAGGGCTTTCAAATGTACCAAGTTCAACACACAACTTCCAAGTAACTGAATCAAAGATACCTTAGGTGGGTTATCATGTGTAGTAGGTGTAAGAATGATAAAGCTCATTCTGAGTTCCACATTTATTTCACTAACTTTCATCTGTTCTAACTACAAGAGAGATGGCCTGATTTCAGTATAGGCATGGCTGAAGTATGTAGCTAACATTTAGGATAAAAAACCAACATTGTTTTGTGCTCTTTTTTTTTCTCAAATGTCACCATCATAAGAGACTTCACCATCCCATTTAGTAATTTTATCATATCAGATGCTTCTGAGTAATGGGGAAACTTGTGAGATCAGTGACATAGACTGTAGTTATTTTAAAATGTTCAAGGAACTAAAGAAAAGTCTAAGAAGCTGAAGGTAAACACTATAAAACAATTTCTCAAATGTAAGTGATTTATATTAATAAACAAATGAAAATCATGAAAAAGAACAGAAATAATCTATAGACACTAATCACAATGAGAAATTCACTAAAGTGGAGGACTCACATCAAAATGGAGGTGTAGGTGGAAGCACTATAGGTTCTCGCACAACCAAGTTTAAAAACACAAAGTTTTAGCAACAAAAACGCAGCCAAACCACAGAAAATTGAATTATATGGAAGTCTGACAACATGAACACTTCAGCCTAACCAGTAAGAGGGGCAGAGCCACCAGCAGATCAGGGTTGGGCAGGAAAGATCCCCCAGACAAACCTGGGTATGTGACCCAGGTGCGCCAGCAGCTGTGGGTGGATCCCAGGTGTGGAGAAGTGGGCGGACCTACTGAGGGTGCAAGATGGTGGACCCAGTGAAGGCTGACTGCAGTCACACATTTGTGGGCAGATAAAGTGGTGAAGGAGCGAGCAGTGAGACAGACTGTGCAGACCCCAGTGCTGAAAGCATGAGAGCAGACCACCATTGTCCCTCTCTGACCCCACCCCCACATAC